AGTTTGATGCAGCACAACTGACAAATGGAATGTCTTTAGTCCAACCCAATATAATTATTACTTGCTGGTTAATTAGACCATTAAAATGTTTTTCCTCTCTTTCCAGTACAAGCAACTGTTCAACCACCGCTAGTGACCTTCAAGATTCTATCGCACTGTGAGTATTGTCTTTAACTTGTGTCACTAATTGGATAATAGTAATATAGAAAAAAAAAGAGATTCATTAGAAAAAGCTCTGCAAATCAGTGTCTTCTGTTCCTTAGAGCCCCTGTCCATCGGATTGCACAAATAATGGAAGAAATGTCTGGGGAACTGATGTCTACACTGACGTAAATTAATCCAACTGCTATTACTCTCACATACAATGTAGCACAAAAATTACAATTTATTAGGAAACTGTAATCACATATTATATTTTTTTTAGGATTCCTCCATTTGCAAAGCTGCTATCCATGCTGGAATACTCAGCAATAATGGAGGATGGTTGACAGTGAAAAAAACACCTGGACAACAGAGTTACACTGGATCATCAAGGAATGGAGTCATAACAAACAATTATGGATCTTTTTTCTGGATCATTTGTATTCTGTGGTTCCTCAAAACCACCAACCCAAAAACCACCAGGTAGTTTCCTGTGAAATACTACACATAACTATAGTAAACAATATTATATGCCCTTCACAGTTGGGTAATAGCAAAGTACTCAGATAGGTAAAATATTGTCAAATGACAATGTGAATGATACTTTACTAAGGTTACCATTAGTCTTCATTTGCTTGGGAGGGTCCATATATTGAGGCGTCTGTCCCCGGCAAACAAGTATCTCTTGTAAAACTCTGATAGGGAAGTCTGAAGGTTTGACCCGCATGGTGCAGTACCGTGACCACCTCCAGATGGTGACTTCTGGCCTCTGTAACCATTGCATTTGAGTGACAATTATGACAATTGTTGGACGAAAGTTAGGCTTTTTTTTCCAGATTTGAAAAGACAGAAAAGAAATAAAAGCCTGTCCCTCTGCTATTGTCATACATGTACAATTGGCTAAGTAGTCCCTCAGCACCATATTGACTTTGCAGAGTGGGTTGCACTTTCCCACAGGGAAATTTTTCTGAAGATGCTCCTGTCCTGGAAACAAATGCCGCTGTATTGATTTTCAGTGCTTGCTCTGCTGAGCAAGAAAACCAAGAAGCTTGGTATGCTGGAGAAAAGGCAGCTGAACCAACATAGCCTGCAACTTCTCCAGGTTAGTGTGAGGACAAGTCTTGTTACATTTAAAAAAAAAACACGCTCCACTATCAATATAATGAATGAACATAAATTTAATTAATTAATAAAATATATTACAAACAAATACTATCAAGTGATTGAGTCTTAGTAAAATTTCCATGGCGTGATATTGCAATCACGCTAGTGCTACATGGATATCTTCACAAAAAATCCTCAAAAAGAATCCTAAAACAATCCGTGATCCTATGTTGTCTTCTATGGTATATTGCCAAAATAAATATAGTCCACCAAATTTATATATATTGTGCTCCTTCATCAGTTGTGCTCTCACCCTGACGTATATGACCAAACCGTTAAGTGAGGTCATACAAGGTTGTGTCCCTTTAATTGGGCTCAGAGGTGGACAAATGGATAAATCCCTGTATCCCAGATGGATGGATAAATGGAGAGTTTTTCCTTTTTCCCAGCAGGGGGTCTCGCCATTACCAAGAGATCCTTTTCATAATAAACAAATAAAAATTGCCTTTGATACAATTTTTGTATGATCCGTAGTAATTTTGCCACACTCCCGTATACTTGCTGTGTGGTTTGCCTTTAAGCGTCGTGACGTCAGAGGGGAGGGGCTCTGACGTCATGACCTCTGAGCCCAATTAAAGGGACACAAGCTTGTATGACATCAGGTGAGAGCACAACTGGTGAAGGAGCACAATATATATAAATTTGGTGGACTATATTTATTTTGGCAATATACCATAGAAGACAACATAGGATCACGGATTGTTTGAAGATTCTTTTTGAGGATTTTTTCTGAAGATATGCATGTAGCACTAACGTTATTGCAATATCACGCCATGGAAATTTACTAGGACTCAGTCACTTGATAGTATTTGTTTGTAATATATTTTATTAATTAATTTAATTTATGTTCATTCATTATATTGATAGTGGAGTGCGACACCACAGGGTTTTTTTGATTTGTTTAGACACATTGGTATGAGTATGTGTATAGTTTAGGTGACCCACTCGTTTATTTTATTTACTCATTTATATATTCAATTAATAGTTTAATTAGTTTAATTATAGCACACATCAAACACACATGATCTATTAAAATATTTGGTAGATTTTATTTTTCTCACTCAATATTAATACACCATAGTAGCTCACAAGAATCACATTTTTAAGTCTTGTTACATTCTTTAATGTCCACCCTGGCTTTTAAAAAAGAGGGGAATCTTTTTTTTGCTGCAGAGACAAGCTTGTGGATTTGACAGTATCATCCAATCAATTTAAAGCATTTCTATTTTCTTAGTTCGGGAGAAAAAGGTGAGGACCAGCATTTGTTTACTAAGTAATCCCATTCTTCTAACCAAAACTAAGAAAATCGAAAAGTTGTTTGTCTATACATTATGCATTCCTAACTCCTGCACTATGCATTATGCACTCTTGCCCCAGGAAAGAGAATACTCAAATTAGATTTAATCATACCTCTTTAAGCTCCTCCCACACCCACAGTTCACCAACACATGCTATGCGCTTTGCATCATTTCTATGATTATGGTGCCCGTGTCATTTTGTATATATATACCTTAAATGTCCGCCTCTTGTTCCAAAGGTCTGCGACTAACTATTTCAGGGTGTGTTGTTAAAATGGGGCCATGATTTTTGTGGGTGTGGCTATTGGAATGTGTTTTATAGTTGTGTTTTAAAGTGGGAGTGGTCATTAAAATTTTCATGGATTCCATTTTGAAAATCTGGAAACCTTACACTGTACCAATATCAGACGATAAGCTTCCACTAAATATACCTGGAACAAAAACATATTCCAACTGGCTAAAATTGGTATCAGTGCTTTGAACATATAAACAAAACCCGATGCAACCATACTGACTACTGCATACAGATCAAGATCAGTATGACTAATCACTTGTAGAGAAATATACCGATATAATATTCTCGCTATCTTTCCAGTACAAGGAACCTGTTCAACTACTGCTAGAGACCTAAAAGAATATATTACAATGTATGTTTTGTATTATAATGACTACTTGTTTAAAAGGAATATAACAAAAAATAGAATATATATTGCAGGTGCTATTTAAGCAAAAGGCAAATCAATTTTTTTTTACATCTTAGGGTCCAATGTCCATCGGATTCCTTAGTGAATGGATAGAATGTGTTGGGAACTTATATCTATACAGAGGTAAGTTAAAGTGGAATTTAACTGTTTTTGAGCACCACAAACTGAAAATGCTAATTTTTACCGATTTATACATGTGCCCAGGGGCGGACTGACAACTCATGGGGCCCCCGGGCAATAGGGGATCATGGGGCCCCTGTGTCCTTTCCCAAACTCAAAAAAGCCTATGAAAAGGTACCAGGGGCATCTCATGGGGCCCCCTACTGACCCCGGACCCTTGGGCAGTGCCCGAGTTTCCAAATGGTCAGTCTGCCCCTGTATGTGCCCATGCTTTATTTGGTGTGAAATCACTTTGAAAAAACACCCCTAGCATTTCTAGCCATGGCCATCGTGAGTAAGGGCAGATAATTCATATAGCATTTACTCCTGGAATCCATCTGCCCTTAGTTCAGGCATGCATGCAAGAGGGTGTGCTTATCTGAGAAAGCCCTCCTCCCCTTCTCCAGATGAAAGAAAAAAATGCCCATGAAGGTTCCTGTAATGTATAAAAATCATTTTGGCCTTGGCCAGAAACCAGGAAGAAGCAAATTAAGACAAGTAGAAAAAAAAGTTAAGAGTGAATGTATTTACTAAGGCTAGCAGGATAAGGAATAAAAATAGCTAATAATGATTAGGAGATTTTAGTTCTGCTTTAAACTCATTGATACTATTCTCATACTAAAATGAAAATGAAGAATACTTTGAAAAGTATACTATCATTTATTACCTTGCTTATTTCATAGGATTCTTCCATTTGCAAAGCAGCTATCCATGCTGGAATTTTGGAAAATGATGAAGGCCTAGTGGCAGTAAAGAAGATACCTGGTCAAAGTAGATACAGTGGATCCACCAGGAATGAAATTAAATCAAATAACTACGGAGCCTTTTTCTGAGTCATTTATATTTCATAGTCTAGAACAGGGGTGTCCCAAACTTTTTTCAAAGAGGGCCAGATTGGATGAAGTGAACATGGTGGAGGGCCGAACAACATTTTTCCGAATATTCTTTGAACCATTACAATTAAATGCAAATAAATTATTTTATGCCAAGTTAATTGCAAACAACATACTTTTCATTCATAACATTAAGATCAACTGACAGCTGAGTTTTCACAATGTATTGAAAATAAATTTAAAAAAATCTTACCTGCACTAATGTGAAGGGTGAAAAAGGTAGCTGGAGCTGAAGTCTCTGCTCGGCAGCCGGGAGGGGAAGAGAAACACACTTCACGCTGGAAGCCCGGCCCTGACGTCACCGCCCTCTGTCGCTCCCAGCGCGGCGCAGTCACGCATGCGCACTGCTCTCAAGCAGAAGACTGTCTGCCACAGAAGGGAGGGCCGTGCGACAGCCGCATTTACACACAGACCAGGGAGAACGCGCTGCAGTCAGGCATGCGCACTGCCCTCTGCTCTCAAGCAGAAGACTGTCTGCCATAGAAGGAAGGGCCGTGGGAGGGCCACATTACACAGAGCAGGGAGGGCTGTTGGAGGGCCGTATTAAACCGACCCCCGGCCGTAAATTGGCCCGCGGGCCGGACTTTGGACATGCCTGGTCTAGAAGAACCTCAGATGACAAAGCACAATGGATGGAGCTAGTTGTAGGGTGATTCCAAAAAGAAAAAGTAGACATGGCTATATGGTTGTGTGTTTAACCAAGGGGATTAAATAATATTAGTAAGCCTATATTTCACATCTTGAGGTAATAGTTGCTATGATTTTAGAGATAAGATACAGTATGCCCTCTGCATGCCAGTTGCTCAGCAAGTGCTTTTTATTCTTCCACAATAGAAAAAGTGTTGATAGAGTGGGGAAGGGTTTAAACCTCTGTGTCCCTATTGAAGAGATTTTCCCTTGCTTCCTCTTTTGCCCAACACCCTTCATCGTCAGCAAAACATTGAACATTCTTCTAAAAAGCAGTAAGGGTACCACACCAATGATGATAAGGTCCAGTATGCTTTTTTTTTTAAAATAAATTATATATATATATATATATATATATATATATATATATATATATATAATTTGTGTGTGTATATGTATATATATATATATATATATATATATATATATACACACACACACACAGTATCTCACAGAAGTGAGTACACCCCTCACATTTAGGTAAATATTTTATTATATCTTTTCATGTGACAACACTGAAGAAATTACACATTGCTACAATGTAAAGTAGTGAGTGTACAGTTTGTATAACAGTGTAAATTTGCTGTCCCCTCAAAATAACTCAACACACAGCCATTAATGTCTAAACCTCTGGCAACAAAAGTGAGTACACCCCTAAGTAAAAATTTCCAAACTGGGCCAAAAGTGTCAATATTGTGTGTGGCCAACATTATTTTCCAGCACTGCCTTACCCTCATGGGCATGGAGTTCACCAGAGCTTCACAGGTTTCCACTGGAGTCCTCTTCCACTCCTCCATGACGACATCATGGAGCTGGTGGATGTTAGAGACCTTGCGCTCCTCCACCTTCCATTTGAGGATGCTCCACAGATGCTCAATAGGGTTTTAGGTCTGGAGACATGCTTGGCCAGTCCATCACCTTTACCCTCAGCTTCTTTAGCAAGGCAGTGGTCATCTTGGAGGTGTGTTTGGGGATGTTATCATGTTGGACTACTGCCCTGCGGCCCAGTCTCCGAAGGGAGGGGACCATGCTCTGCTTCTGTATGTCACAGTACATGTTGGCATTCATGGTTCCCTGAATGAACTGTAGCTCCCCAGTGCCGGCAGCACTAATGTAGCCCCAGACCATGACACTCCCACCACCATTCTTGACTGTAGGCAAAACACACTTGTTTTTGTACTCCTCATCTGGTTGCCGCCACACCCTGCTTGACACCATCTGAACCAAATAAGTTTATGTTGGTCTCATCAGACCACAGGACATGGTTCCAGTAATCCATGTCCTTAGTCTGCTTGTCTTCAGCAAACTGTTTGCGGGCCTTCTTGTGTATCATCTTTAGAAGAGGCTTCCATCTGGGACGACAGCCATGCAAACCAATTTGATGTAGTGTGCTGCATATGGTCTGAGCACAGACAGGCTGACCTCCACCCCTTCAACCTCTGCAGCAATGCTGGCAGCACTCATACGTCTATTTCCCAAAGACAACCTCTGTATATGACGCAGAGTATGTGCATTCAACTTCTTTGGTCAACCATGGCGAGGCCTGTTCTGAGTGGAACCTGTCCTGTTAAAACCGTTGTATGGTCTTGGCCACCGTGCTGCAGCTCAGTTTCACGGTCTTGGCAATCTTCTTAAAGCCTAGGCCATATTTATGTAGAGCAACAACTCTTTTTTTCAGATCCTCAGAGAGTTCTTTGCCATGAAGTGCCATGTTGAACTTCCAATGACCAGTATGAGAGAGTGAGAGTGATAACACTAAATTTAACACACCTGCTCCCCATTCACACCTGAGATCTTGTAACACTAAAGAGTCACATGACACCGGGGAGGGAAAATGGCCCAATTTGGACACTTCACTTAGGGGTCTTCTCACTTTTGTTGCCAGTGGTTTAGACATTAATGGCTGTGTGTTGAGTTATTTTGAGGAGACAGCAAATTTACATGCTATACAAGCTGTACACTCACTACTTTACATTGCAGCAAAGTGTCATTTCTTCAGTGTTGTCACATGAAAAGATATAATATAAATATTTACATAAATGTGAGGGGTGTACTCCTGTGAGATACCGTATACAGATATACAATATATATACGTATAATCATAGACTTCACAGTTAAGGGAAAAAAAAATTACTTCTGAATTTACTTCTGAATTGTACTGCCAAAATATATATGTTTTCATTAAACTATAAATGTTCGCACCAAAAATTCTATACACATAACAATGAGCATTATAATAAATGGTTATATTTATGACCCAATGGCCCTGATTTACTAAGACGAGAGTCTACTAGCAGACTCTGAACATTCAGGCAGACTCAGTTAAATCAATCAAGACCTGTCAGTCTTCTGAGCGGCGTCTAGCAATCTCATTGACAAACGTCTACTTTGCTATTAGTAAATGTGGAATCGCGTCTGGCACATTTTTAGGTGCAATACCGGATATGTTTGCTAGATGGCGCACAAGCACGGACATTGTAGCATTGGCGTTTTTCTCTTAGCATAAGAGAATATTTAGAAGGTAACATAATTAGTACACCTATATTGTAATTTTTTTTTTTTGCTGTTTCTCCAAAATGATCAGACAACTAATGCATTTACTAATGAATGTCATACATTTTATTTTCAAATGTTAAACATTTTCACACTCTCAAATAATTTGGATACTTCTAATTTCCCAATATAATGATAAATTATAATTATAATTTCCCAAATTTTACTGATAAAAAAAATGTGCCAAAATCCCGAAAAACGGCTGACCAATTAACCCACTAACGGCCCGAAAATAGTTCGATTTTTTTTTCGGCAGAAAAATCGGTCGATTTTAGACCCATCTATGGCCTGCTTTAGATGGATCTAAAATCGGCTGAAAAAAATCGGCTGATTTTCGGGCCATTAGTGGGTTAATTGGTCAGCCATTCTTTGGGATTTTTTGCCACTTTTTTTAATGGGTAAATTTGGATAAAAATCGGCCGATTTTGCAGATCGGCCGATTTTAGCGGCAATGATCTTTATACAGATAAAAAATCTGCGTATGAGCCATGACCTGCAAGAAAAAGAAGAAGAAAATGAAAAAGAAGAAGAAAAAAAAGAAGAAGAAAAAGAAGAAAAAGAAAAATGCAGGCCATAGATGGGGCAAAAACTGTCCGTTTTAAAAAAAAAAAAAAAAACAAAAAATCGGTTGTTCAATGGGCCGACGTTACCACCAACGGTAAAAAAAATTGTCCAATTTTCGCCCTGTCTACGGCCGGCAAATATAATAGCGAAGTAATTACTTCTGTCCCTGCAGAGAGCTGCGCTATTATATTTGACATTAAAAAGTATAAAGGTTGCAACATTGTATCTATATGTATCCGAATAAAAACATCTATATCCGAAATGGATACAAATAGATACAATGTTGCAGTCTCTATACTTTTTAGTGTCAAATATAATAGTGGAGCTCTCTGCAGGGACAGAAGGAATGTTTCAGCTGTCATCGGGGTTTCCCACTGACAGCTAAATTTTAAATTATTTCCGTGAATTAAATAAATAATAAAAAAAACTGCGTGGGGCCCCCCTCTCCCCCCCCCTCCCATCCATACCAAGCCCTTCGGGTCTAGATGAATCAGAGTGACTTGAGAGCCACAGGTGTGATAATTACTAGAAGATCACAAACATGAAACACATAACTACAACTGTGTTGGAAATATCTACAAATATATGTTGCGCTCCTAAATACTTCTCAATAAATAATAATTAAATTATTACCATTAAATTAATTCAAATTATGATACAAATAACTAATAAAAGTGTATAAATACCAAAAAATATTTAAATAGATAGTTTCAACTAATCAATCTCCTCCAAATAAATATCAAAATAATTCCACATGAAATACTCCTCTAAAAAAATATTTTACCAAGTGCTCATAAATCATCTATTAGTGACATGATGTACTTACTAAAACCCTCAATTTCATTTATATACATAATACTGTCAGGGCTCCGGGTATGACCAGAGGTATGTGAACTGACGCAGGGAAACGCAGGCTTCAGATATGTTATAAACAATATAATTTATTAATACTAACAATACAAAACGTAGTGCAATACTAAAACATAAACAAAGTGCAAACGAACCAAACCAAGCCACCCACAGATAATAATACATACAATGCAAGCGTCGTCAGGCAGGCCAGGTCAATAACAATCGGGCAGGTAGGAACAGGAGGAGCAGGCAGAGAGTAGTCAGGTCACGAGCCGGGTACAGAAACTAACGGGCAG